GAAAAAAGCTCTGGAGAGATCTCAGAGCTGAGCTAAACAGCGGTCAGGGAGGAGTAATCCCATGGGGTGATGCCTGGGCTGGTAAAGAGTTGAACCAGGGCCTTCATTGGTGTGTGGAGCCCAGGGAGGTGCTGCTCTGCCTTGGAAGTATATCCACATTGTGCCTTGGAAATTATTCACATCCTCAGGCTGACACATAATCTTATGTTTTTCGTACAGCTGGTGCCCTTTTCTCCACCTCGGGTCCACTACGTCATGACTGAGCTGTTTTTGAAGACGTTCTTTGCTGACGGAGGCCGTGCTTGGTTGGATGTGTTGTAAGTAGGAGCCCTCTGGCAGCAGTGCTGTAAGACACCTCCATCCCCATGCCCATCCACACAATGCACAGGCAAAACGAGCCCACCTCTCCCACCCCAAACAGGAGATACTCATGTTTCTGAGAAATGGCAAATAGCTTCTCTGGCATGATCCCCTCTTCTTGCCATCTCTCAGCACAGGAGATACTGTAGATCCAAGCTTGAAATCACAGGTGAATTGCTGCAAGATCCCGAGGCTGGGGAAAAAGCTGCTGGCTCTGATTCTTAAACCTCTGGTGAGTCCCTGGCCTCAGGCTCAAAGCAGAGTGGCGTCAGCAAGGCCTTGAGATGCTTGAAAGCGTGACGGTGCTGAGAGACATCTTTAACTAAAAACACTGGGATTTCAGGCCAAGGCACACGCTATCACTTTGGAAGGTCTTTTCTAGATCCCTGCTGGGATTTATCCAGTGCAAAGTGAAATGAGAAAAGGACAGGCCAAGAGCTGTAAAAGATTAATTCAGAGCCCATAGCAAGTGGTTCTTCAGATGCTAGACCTAGAAGTGCCCAGTTCCCTACAGCGTCATGCATTGGGATTACTGCAGCACAGGTACTGGAGGTTGAAGCTCTATCCCTGTGTTGGAGGCCTCCCAGGGACCACACCTTCACAGGAACTCCTGGTGATTGATAAGGGCTGGCCCTCACTGTAGCCCTTTCACCAGCTGAGCATCCTTTTGTAGGGCTTCTCTCCTTCATCCGCCATTTTCTCTGCTTCTCTGTCCAGTTGGGTTGTTCTCAGTTGATAGGATCAAAACAGTAGCAGTGAGTGGGAAGCAATCAAAATGCTTGTAGGGGTCTTGTTTCTGTGAGATACCAAGCTAAAAAATGTTTGATTTATCAAAAATAATGAAAGATGACTTGGTTCAAGTCAGTGCATTCTTCTGTGAGCAGGAAATAATTGGGCTGTAAGAAACAAACTGGAAACCAACAACCAGGAGTTGGAAGCAAGGTAAATTTAGAACCATGAGGAGCATTTTTAATCATCATAGTTCACCCTCAGCACAGCATCCCCAGGGACAGAGGCAGGATGGGACCAGGGATTTCTTGGAATAGCACAAGTTACTGTACTCCCATGTCAAGTCCCTAATGAGACCCTCTTGCCTTTCCAGTTTCCCCGCCTGGCTGACTATCTGAGTGCCTTGGGCGGAATGAGGTAAGATGGCATTGTCTCCAGGGATGTCCATGGAAGTGAACATGTACTTTCTCCTCTGTGTGTCTATGGGCGAGGTGCTGGATTCATGACAGACTCAGAGCTGCTCTCTGCAGTGGCTGTCCCTCCATCCTGGACATGGCTTCAGCCTTTAGGAACACATCTCCCCAGCGTGGCACTGCCCCTAGTGTTATCCTGAAGGGATTCAAGGACTCAGATGGATAAGGTCACGCAGGAAGCCTGTGGCAGAGATGAGCACTAAATCCAGGCTCACAAGAGAAACCTTCTCTCTACCTCTTCCAGACATTTGTTGCTTAATTGCTTGGCCAAATGCCAAAGGAAACTTTAGACAAATTGTGAAAGATGTATTAAGTAATTGCTAAAATCACCGGGTTTATCAACCTGGAGGATTATTTAAGCAATTCCTCCTCTTAAAGCTTAAAAATGTTGCTATGATTTCCACTTGCAGGTCAGTAAAGGAGATGTGGAATCATCACCATCAAATAGAGGTATGTTTTGAGGACTTTTCTCTCTGCCATCATGCTACAAGTTGAGGCTTTATGGCATGTGCCAGGTCAGAGGGACATCAGTGAGGAAAGGGGTTGTGTGGGGGGGTGCTGGGGAGGAGACAGAATGGAGGGAAAGGCACAAAAGAGAGATAGGAATGGGGTAGATGGACTTGTGGGTCAACCCAGACAGGACTTTGTCAGTTGCCCACAGTGCTCATTCCCATATGCCCATGTTTGATGGTCCCAGTCTGGCCACGTGCCGTGTAGGCAGACACTTACACGCTTCCCTGCCTCTTCCCTCGAGCACAGCTGCCTGCTGCTGCCTCCTTGGCCATGACAGAGCCTGGAGCATACCCTGGAGAAGCCAAGATGCTCCAGGCATGAATGTGGCCTCCATGTCATCTCCTCTCTCCTCCCCAAGGCATACCGCACTGAGTTCATCGCCCGATGGAGAGAACTCCAGCTGGACGTTGTGCTGTGCCCTGTCCTGGGGCCTGCCTTCACCAAGGGATACCCTGGGAAACTCCTCAGTAAGTGAGTCTAGGACATTCTGGAGCGGGCAGAGGACCACAGTGGTTGTGACTGGACAGAAACATCCGCTACCATGGAGCTTCACAACCCACCTAAGCATTTTATGGGCATTAAGAAAGGAAAATAACTACCATAAAGCTATCTGGGCAGACAGGCACATGGAGACCAATACATGGATGAAGTGATCTGGTGGTAGTTGTTACTTGCAGTAGAACTTGCCCTATGCAATCTCTCCTCCTAGCAGCAGCTGTTTCTCAGGGGCTTCAATGAACACATAATGTGTAAGTTTGAAGGAAGACAGGAGCCTGTGATTACCTGTATTCTCTCTTCTGCTTCTCTCAGCTGCCATCTCCTCCACTATGCTGTACAATGTCTTGAACTTCCCCGCTGGGGTTGTACCCGTAAGCACAGTGACAGAAGCTGATGAGGAAGAGCTAAAGCTTTACCGAGGATGTTGTGATGACCCCTGGGACCGGACACTGAAACAGGTATGTGACATAGAAAGTAGTGGAGCAGAGACTGCTGATGGATGTTCAAATAATAGTTTCACTAAAACCAGGGGCTCCTAAATATCTCCATCAATGTGGGCACAGGGCAAAAAAAACACACCTCTTCTTTATATACTTCTTGGAAATCCCTTTCCTCCCAAGCTCCAAAAAATGTAAGTCACTAGGGAGGGACTAGGGGAGCATCCCCAAGATGGACTATAGGCTGAAACCTGAAAGGAGCCATGCAGCAAGGCTTCTTCAAATAGGTCCTTGTGACAGCCACAGCACTGCACTTTCCTTCTGCTCTGTGATGCCTTCATCAGGCCCAGACTGTCAGCAGAGCATGGCTCAGGAACAAGGATGCTGAAGGAAAAGGGATCTGGCTGCAAGACAGCTCAAAGTAGAGCAGGCTGGGGGCAGGGGGGCTGGGTCTTAAACAAGCTGCCCAAGATTTGGTAACCATTTCTATCACAAGAACAGCAAGAGCCTTCCCTCTGCCCCAGCATTTTAATGCTGCTTGAATGGCAGGGCTCAGCCTCCAACCTCTCCGCTCTCCAGGACAAGCTGCATGCCTAAACCAACTTTCCAAAAGCTGCTGGAGGCCTGAGCCCCCCAGGTACCTTCTCACCACTTATGTCCCCATTGCAGGCTGTGGCAGGAGCTGTGGGGCTGCCCGTGGCCGTGCAGTGCGTGGCCTTGCCGTGGCAGGACGAGCTGTGCCTCCGGTTGATGAAAGAGGTGGAGACCCTCAGCCGTGAGAAGAGAGACCCTCAAGTGTGAGAAGAGAGCAGCAGAGCCTCCAAGGTCCCATGCCGCAGGGCCAGGCGAAACGGACAGTGCTGCACAACTTCTCTTTTGCAATCAGCACAGAGATTACAGCGAGGAGGGAAGGAGGGAGAAAAAGCCATTTCCTGATCCCCCTCCTTGCCGATAAGCACCGATCCTCTAAGGAACCGAGATGCCATGCAGAGGGCAGCACTGGCTTAAGCCGAGTTCAAATGATGATGGAAAGGATGGACGTGGATGTGGGTTCACCTTCATTTTCATCTATCCTGCCTCTTGCTGAAGGAGGGTGATGCTGAGAGAAATGGATTACAGAAGCTCAATAGTATTCTCTTGCTGGCACTGGAGTAACTTTGTATGGATGTAAGTATGGGCTGCCCTGTAAGGCACATGGCCATGTCTACCCTCCCCATCACTGTATTTTGTTCACAAAAATATAAATGTAGCTATTAAGCCCCTCTTATAATAAAACTCCAGTAATCCTTCAGTGATGGCTGTGATTATATGAATGCAGTTATTACTCAAAATATACAAACACCTTCCCACTGGACATTAAATGGTATTTAGTGAATACAATAAATGGAGCATGCACATCTTCCCTCTCAACCACAGCTTTCCTGTCCATGAGGGATGGCAACTCACTGGCCTTTCCACAACACTGAGCTCTTTTTCCACCACCAATCTTGAGAATCCCAAGCACATTTTCAACCTCTCAGCAGGGGTGTTCTTGGGAACCTCTTATTTCACAACCTCAGGCTGCAATTTCTGAAGGTAGGAGATAAGCAGAGACAGATGCAACTCAATTATGCAGATGGTGAGATCTGGGAAAGAAAGGAAGATCCCCAGATGGTGTTTGTTAACCCAAACCTGCTCATGTAGGATCAAAGCGGTCAGACAGGAGGGAGGGAGCAGCATCCACACAGGGCCATCTACCCCGTCCTGAGACAGATGGATACGTTGCTCTCTCTGATAAGACCTCTCTCTTTTCTAGATTAAAACCTCAGTCTCAGATAAATATTCAGGATACTACACAGCAGGTCTTTCTCATTTATTCTCTATGTCTGCAGTGAAAAAGCAGATTTCCTTGGGGACATTTTAAAAAGAAAAATAAATATAAAGCAGTTTTGCTGTCCCTGGAAATTTTGGGTATTTCCTGATAGTCAGCAGACATAGTCTGTTGCTCCTTCTACATCCGACGTAATTTGCAGAAATACATAGGTCCAAAGTTGGCTGTGAGGTGAGGCAGAACAAGCTCCCCCAGCCGGCACTCTGAGAAGAAGGAAAACGTGTCCTGGAAGAGTGTCCGAAAGTGGCTCAAGTCCTCAACGTGGATCCTGATGTTAAACTGGGTTTCTGCAATTTCCACCGCTCTCTCGATCACATACTCATTCTGCAGCGGGGAGAGGGAGCACGTAGAATACACCACCTCCCCTCCCTGCTTGGTAGCGAGGATCCCAGCCCTGCAGGCAAGATGAACACACACACACTGTTACGGGAAGAAGAGGACTGTGTGGAACACCAGCATTCCCACCCACTGAAACTGGGAAGGCAGCATGTAACTGATAGGAGGTGAGAGACAAATCTTGCAACTCCACAGGCTCAGCAGTGCCACTGTGTCACTGCAACTTGAGGACTGTTTTAGGGCAATGTGGGTCAAATAGATGCTTAGATTGATAAAGTACTTAACATGGGAGAGACCCTCCTGGAGAGCAGCTGGAAGGGATCCTGCATTCACCTCCAAGGGAATGGGATAAGAATATGTACAGGCGAAGAGGCTCTCACAGTTCAAGCGCTGCCATGGGACTCTCTAATCTGTTTCCTTATTGCCCCAGCTCACAGTCAGCCCATCCAGCCTTCTCAGCAAGATGGGGTGACAAAGTGCTGGGAGACACTCAGGAATCCATCAGGGCTGACTGCCAGGACCCAGGAGATCATCACAAAAGGACAATACCATACCCAACCTGTTCCTTAGACCCTCTTCCCTACCTCCTATGGCTACTGCTGGGGACAAGAAGCCCATTTGATCTGACCAAGAACATTTGCACCTTCTCACACGTATTATGATTTGATGTGTTCAACTATTGTCATTCCAAAAAACTACATACAGTTTCCACATTTCCTACATAAAATAAGAAGAGGTTTCAGTGCTGGCCATGGACAGCTGCTACCATAACACAAATAGCACCAAAACACAGCATCGAGCTCACTCACATCAGCAGCTGCAGCTGCAGCATGGGCAACATCTGACGCTCCTTGGTTCGTCTCTTGTGGAAGATGTTGTTGTCGTCCTCCATAACAGAGTGCCGGTCCGTCGTGCAGGGCACATCCACCAGGACCTGCAGCAGCAGAGGTCCTGCATCACTCCTGGGCCCAGGTCAAGCTCAGTCAGCCTCCCAGTGCAACCTGCCCCTTGCCCAACTCTTCCACCCTTGCCATACACCAAGCAGCTCTGGGTTCCACACTGAACTGTACCTCGTCTGGCTGCTTTTGCATTTCAGGAACGTGCAGACAGACAGAGAAGTGGTGGATAACATCACGCTCTCATTTATGTTTCTACTCTGTGCATCTTTCCTGTTAGGTGTTACTGCAGCACTATGGCTGCAACCAGGCACGGCCAGAGCAGCTGGACATGGCTGAGAAACAACAATTATCTCATCTTCACATTTAACCCCTTCCAGGTGATGGCTTAGAACAGGATTTTGAAGGAGTATTACACAGGTAAATAAAGGTTCAACTCCAGGTGCCCATATGCACCAGATCCCACAGGAAGGGTATAGCAGGAGGAAATATTACTCCGTATGTGGCCTAGGCTTCTTTCTCTGCATTTAAGATTATGGAAAACTATACAATTATACTGTAGATAAGCTGCTGTCTTCTTCTGAAACAGGAGGAAAGTGAAACTGATGGGTTTACCTTCATCAGTTCCCAATCACAGAATCACCTACTTTAGAGAAGACCTTTAAGATCATTGAGTCCAATCATTAACCTCACACTGACAAGTCCCTGACTAACCCATGTTCCTCAGCACTATGTCTACACGACTCTTCAATCCCTCCAGGGATGGGGACTCCACCACTGCCCTGGGCAACCCATTCCATCACTTACCTTATGGAAAGTGCCACCTTCCAGCTGGTCCCAGTCCCTTCCATCGCAGGATGTGACGCTCACCATTTTCCTGATTTCTTTGGGAATGTAGCTATGGAGAATCTCGTACAGCCTCTTTGTCCGGGAAATGGAGATGTCGTTGGCTGCCAGGTGCCCTAAGAGGAGAAAACAGGCACACTGGGAATGTTACTCTTCCAAAAACACACCTGATTCCCAACTCTTATAACCAGAAATTAACAGTCAGACATTAACGGGCACAGCACACTCTTCCAGCCCTGTTTTATGCACAGGGACAAGGAATGCCCACCTCCACTTACCACAAATCCCAGTCTGCAGCAGAGCCAGAGTCTTGCCACCCGGAGCCGCGCAGAGGTCAAGGACAAAGTCATCCGGCTGGACATTGAGTGCCAGGATGGGCAGGAGAGATGCTGCGTCCATGAGATAATAGTCGAGGAGCCCCAGAGCATCCGGCCTGGAAATCACCAATTTGCATTAAAAAAGGGAATGTGCAAAGTGAAAAGAAAACAGCAGTTGGAAATGAAGATGGGGACGTAGAGGAGCAGTGGGTGCTCTCGCACTTGCAGCCCCCGAGGCTGGCAATGACAGCGGGTGCTCCGTGCCAGGGATCTCACCGTGCAGGGCGAAAGCGCGTGATGTCCCCCCTGGGGAAGGTGTAACACTTGATGTTGGAGCTGATGGAAGCACAAAGTGGTGGTGACATCTCTGCCTGTGTCATCGTCTCTGCCTCCATCACTGTTCTGCTCTCACCAGACCCCTCTTGGGACCTGCTTTCCCCTCTCCCCACTTCCTCCGTAGTCACACCCCACTGCGATTGCTGCGCCGTTTTGAGGGCTTCGGAAACAAAATCAGTGGCATTCAGCAGCTCCAGCTCTTGAGCGACGTGGTCAACAGGAGAGAAGTTGTTGAGGAGGGCACCATACTTCTGCTCGCAGAGCAGGGCAGCACGGACGGAGGGCCACAGGTCCTTCAGCTGCAGGCTGTAGTTCATGTCAAAGTGGTGCAGGGCCAGCCGCGTGGGCGGGATGCGGGGGGCCGTGGCAGCCTTGGGGGAAAAAATACCAGAAATGTTAAAAGATAAAATATCTTGACATCCCAGTGCCACCCCCAGTCTCAATGTTCTTCCAGGAGAATCCAGTGCCTGGTTCTGTCCTCCCCAAAGTCTTTCTGCAGCCCCAGAAAATTACTTGGCCAGTGGTCGCCTGTGGGGGGTTCAGGACCAGGAATGGCTGAATGAGGGTGGGGGCATGGGGTGGGCACGTGAGGAAGGGAATGGAGTGTTTGTAATGGAGGTACAAGGAGTGAGGGGGTCCT